CCTGCAGGACACCGGCCCTCGAGGCCTGGAGTTCGACACCTGTGTGTTAGATCTTCAGATCTTCATATTCAGTTCATTTCTTTTCATTTACAGTCAGAAATATTATTGCACTTCAGGGTTTGTTTTTAGCACACAGTCACATGTTGATCGTGTCGCCTATCCTTATGGCAGAATGTTTCTGTTGGAAGTTATTGAACTGTTTATTTTTTAACTCTTTGGATACTGAGATCTTTTACAAACTCTTCCTGTTATAAATATCTTTTGTTGGAACTAGATTAAACTGGTGGCACTATTTTAAAAAGCGTCCTTGCTTTACTTTTAGCAAGAGCATCCAGCTTCTGCATCGTGGTGAAGTCTGGCCCTCGACTGGACCTTACCTTGGTTGTAGAAGTATTTCAGGTAGTATCTGGCTCCCAGGTCAATGTGTTCAATGTCGTGATTATTCATCAGATGTTGGTCGAACGCCCGAGTTCCTCCACTAAACTCCAACACTGAGATGCTCGCGTTGGTGCGGCGGGTGCTGAGCGGCGGATCGCTGAAGGATGTGTCTGCTGCAGCACCGGAGGTGGAGGTGTTGGCCCGAGTCAGGCCCAGCCTCCTTTCCATCTCCCCTCCAATCTCATTATGAAAGAACGGACAGCTGCTCACCAGAAAGTTGTTTTTGTCATGTTCATCAGGGCTTAAAGCATCAAACACATAACATCCAGAGGTGGAGACGTTCCTTCTGTGCTGGAGGTCTGCTTGGGGGACGAAGCCGCTGCTGAAGTTGAAGAGGACACTCTGACTATCATAATGAGAAAAGCATTTGTAAGAGATTGCGCTGGGTCTTGTGTCCCTGTTTGTCCTCTGATTCCTTAGTCTGCTGAGGATCGATGTCTCCGGCTTTGTTTTCTGAACATGCGACACATAAACCGAAGCGTTCACATAGTTGGGTACATAGATGACATCCCCATGAGCAATGCGAGCGGCAGTCTGCAGACTGGGCGACAGTGCAGCATGAAGCTGTGCAGGTTCTGGGAACGGAGGTGGTGCGCTGGGCACCTGCTGCTCCAGCCTCCAGGAAGGAGTCTCAGTGGATCGTGACAAACTTTGGCGGTCCAGTGTCGAAGTGCTGCAGCACTTTCGCCTCAGACTTGCATCTGTGTTTGGGTTGATGGCAGCAGGGTCCATGTCTTCAGCTCCGACATCACTGATCGTCACCTCACTGTTGCTTCTCTTCATCCTTGCCAAACTCCTGCTAGTGGAAGGACTCGGGCGAACTGGGAATGTAGTCTCTGACCTGGGCTGGGGGTCCAGGCTCTTGTTGGAATGGGGAGGTTGACTCAGAAAGCTCAAGTTCAGACCCTCCTGAGCATCCCTCCTCTGAGACAAGTCGGACATTCGGGCCCTGACCCCCATCTTTGGTACAACAGGAGCTCCCTGAACGACCGGAGGTCCCATAGTCCCGATCCTTGGAAAGTCTAAGAAACACTGCTGTTAGTCTAGTCCAGAAGGACCCTGAACCACTGCCAGGACTCAGACCCGAAGTTCATGACTCCTGTGAGATCTAATAGGTCCACAGTCTGATTAGGATCAGAGACAGGAAGTACATCCTGGACTCACCATCCACAGCGATCTGAAATAAGAAAAGGTTGTCATGCACTCCTGTTGAGGTGAATCACCTGTTTACCTGTGCTACAAGTACAGGTGTGAACATGCGCTAGTCAATCCCAGCTGCTCATTCGCCTGTAGGTGTGACGCATCTGTTCGGCTGAAAAACATGAAGCGTCATGCCTGAGAATTTAAAACACAAACGTGGCAGACGGACCAGCTCTGGTATGGGGAAGAGCCACAGGACAAACCTGTGCCCAGACGTGAACTAGATGTTATAACCCAGTTATTACTTTATTAATGCGAGAAGCAACAAAACACACCTGAAGTCCACCACGTTACCATGAGAAGGCAGTGTGTGTGTGTGTGTGGTATTTCCAGCAGCTGTCTCCGTCATGTTCAGCAGTAACAGCTGAAGGCTTCAGATATCTGTATGTGGACAAATGTACTCTCAACTGCATACACTGCTCTGTGTGTACTGCATACTGTATACGCTGTACTGTGTTTGGAGCCGGTCTGACGTCAGGTCATAACCTTGAACATTACATTTCTGACATAAAGCTAAAAGCAGACATTGGAAAAATAAACACAGAACAATGCTGCATGCCTGTATGTTTGAGCACATGCAAACAGATGTGGAGTTCTGTGAAACGTCCCAACACTGTGTGATCACATCGGCAGAGTAAACGCTTTGCAGACAGTCATACAAACTGCTGTTTTCACTTTGGTCAGTTTGGGATCAAGTATCCATCTACCCTGGTGTTAGGAAGTTTTACCTGAAGAATAAAACATAACATGAAATATATTAAAAAGTGATCCTGTTTGACTGTAACTGAATTCAGTTCAGCTGTAAGTTTATAAGATAAAGATGAGATAAACCTTTATTAGTCCCACACGTGGGAAATCATGTCATATAGTATCTTATTCTTATTATCATATCCTATTTCATTGCTTTTCTTAATTTTTGCTACTGTAACTTTGCACTGTCCACTTTCTGCTGTGACACAACAAATTTCCCACATGTGGGACTAATAAAGGTTATCGTATCTTTTCTTAAAATACAAGTTAGAGCAGTAACCCCCCCCCCCCAAAAAAAAAAACCCTAATAGAATAGAATAAGATAAAATAATATAGTATATACAATAGATATATAGTACAATTGATATGTCACATGACAACAGAAGTCTCAGGGTGCTTTGTATTGAAAGGTTAGATGATCTATTTTGGTGCTTTTAAGTGTTTCTTTAATCTTAGTTTCCTGACTACAATCATCAGAACCCCTCAGGACGGCACAGCCAGTGCCCTGGTCCCTCCCTGAATCATCATCAGTGCAATCAGGAGGTGAATGCTGTAGTTCCACAGACACCACCACCCAGCTGAAGTTTCAGATTCATTCAGGAAACTCCTTTTATTGACATGGCTTTATTTGCCTGTAAAAAATAAGACTATGAAACAAAGCAGCCAGCAAGAGTACAGGAGAGACGATCATGTGTTTAAATGCAGGAAAAGTAGTGTACTAATTCCTGAGGCCAAGTGGGATCTTTACAGATGTTTCTGTCTGAGAACATCTGTAAAGGCGGATCTTCGTTCAAGGGAAATGATGTTGAAGAAGCTGCAGTCATAAAGAGCAGCAGACTGTGGTGCATTGTGGGAAACTGTTGTCAACGGTCAGCCATCTACAGATGACAGAAATGCCGTAGTTGGGTCATGAAAAGTGAGTCTGAGGAGTTGATAACATCGGCGTGATTGCCTCTTCCTGTCTCCTGACCCAGTCATCTCAGCTGATTACTGGATTACATCACTTCCTGTTCATAGGGCAAAGAGGTCTCTGAGGAATCTGCTTCCTGTTGGCGGAGGGTGGAGTGAGGTGGGGAGGGTGGGGGGTGATCTTATCTTCAAATTAAGGACAAAGACACAGATTTCAAGAAGCCTGTCCTGCTCATCATCAAGTTTGCAACTGTCTGCAACACGCCTGTGACATGTATATGCTTTGTGTGAGGTTTCCAGCACATTGACCAGGACATGTCCTTCAATGCACATATTAAACAAATATGTAAGACTGCTTTCTTCCATTTGCGCAACATCTCTAAAATTAGAAATATCCTGTCTCAGAGTGACGCTGAAAAACTGAACATAACAGAATTGAATTCTGTTATCTGTTACCACACCCAGAAACATTGTATCAGAAACTTACTACTTCAACATTATTTATCAGCAATTCTGCTCCAGCATCTTTTTTTTACAATTTCCAAATAACATAAATGTAGTTTTATTCAAATTTAGTGAAAACTTGTTTCTGTCAAACCTTGTTTTCAGTTTTGTGTTCCAAAAGCTGATGTGAATTATCTCCAGCACAAAAAATCTTTGAATCATCTGCAAATAAAATAAACTGTAATATATCAGATGTTTTTATATATCATTGATGCACAGGATAAATAAAAGCTTATTTATCCTGTGCATCAATGATATATAAAAACAGGGGTCAGCATTGGGTCCAAAGCTGGACCCAATGCTGACCCCTGTGGAACTCCACAAACAATGTCCAGGCACTCTGATATTCACCAAGCTTCACAAATTGTTGCCTGTCTCTCAAATAACTCCTGACCCACTCCTCTAATGCTGTAGTGCTCCAGTTTATAAGGTAATATTTCATGATTGATTGTGTCAAAAGCTTCTTGTAGGTCAATGAAAACTCAGACTGTGCATTGTCTTTGATCTGTTTTATTAGTGATATGTTCAGTTAGTTCCATTAATGCCATGGATGTTGATCTATTTGGTCTGAAACCATACTGACTTTCCATTATTATTTTATGTTTATCTATTAATTTGTCAAGTCTATTAATGAAAACTTTTTCCAGTATTTGTGAGAATTGTGAGAGTAGAGAAACAGGCCTGTAATGTGAATTGGTGTCAATCTCCATTTTTAAACAGTGGTATTACTTTAGCAGTTTTCATTTGTGTTGGGAACGCACCAGTTTGTAGAGGCAAATTGCAAATGTATGTTAAGGGTTTGGAGCATCGATAGCTTTCTTAACAATTTCCATATCAATGTTATCAAAGTCTGTAGAGTTTTCAGTTTGTGATTTCCCAACAACATGATTTCCTTTTTTTCCACCACCGTTAAAAACACTGACTGAGGATTAGGCCGGGGGAATATGGCCAGAAATATTTATCACAATATATATTTGAAAATGTGCGATAACGATATAACTGACGCGAGACAAAATACTTTACCACTCCACAACTTTATTAGTGCAAAAAACCCATCAATGTATTTTCACTTAAACAAGCAGCTGTTTTTTATGTGCATTAAAGTTATTTAAAATTTTTACCCATATTCAATCGCCATATTTCATTTTCTAACCATTGCCTAACATTACACCGGTGTTACCGTGAACGTTTGATATGGCCCAGCCCTAGTTGAGGATTATTCAATGAGCTTAGTTTCTTTCTCTGCACAGTTTCTTGTGTTCTGTCAGCCAAGTCTGGCCCAACACTTACAAAGAATTTGTTGAACTCATTAACCACATCGCTCATCATTATTAGTCAAATATGAAGGATAATGTAACTGCCTAGAACTATTTTAATAACAATATTTCATGTTTTCCAAATCCCTTTACTCTTATTTTTATTCATATTTAATAATTTCTCAATTTTACATGACCTCAAAATACTAGTTAATTTATTTTTATACCTCTTGTTCTTATTTTCAACTTCTCTACTTCTGTACTTTATAAATCACTTCACTGCTCAGCAGTACTTCGTTACCTCACTGCTCAGCAGTACTTCGTTACAGTGCTCAGCAGTACTTCGTTACCTCACTGCTCAGCAATACTTCGTTTCGGAGAGGGAAATTTTACCTTCTCGAGGACCGAGGATCCAGGGCTCTTCCAGGGTTCTGACTCTCGGATCACACCCGGACGTCGACGTGTCAGTCGGTTCCGGTTTGTTTCCCGGTCCAGTCACACTGACACGGACGACACGGACCTCTTGTGCGGGTCCTGGTCTTGGTTCGGTCTCGTTAAACTCTCAGCTGTGTCTGGTCGGACGCTTCAGCTCAGCCAGGCTGGCGATGCGTTTAAGTGATGCTCGGATTCTTTACAGCCCGGCTGATGCCTTCAGAGGACGTTAATAAACGTGGGAATTTTCTTCACTTGTCTGTCTTTCATTGAGCTGAAAATAAATAAAGTGAAATAGCCCACTGTTCGTTCTGCGGTCGGCTTTCAAAGGTTGTAAACCTTTTGGGGATTCCTAACCTGGATGATCGAGCATGCATGAAGACGATTTGATAAAAACGTCACACACTGCAGTTTTAATTTATTTGGATCCACGTTAAATACACAGTTTTTTTCTCATTACAATATTGATATTACAATATCTCTTGACAAATATTAACATGAGATGAACAGAGATGAAGATCAGACTTCATCAATAACTTCACTAACTCAGTGCTTCAATTTAATACTGTCAAATTATTACTGTGCAGTTTATACTGCTTAACTTTTATTATTGTAATATTAGTAGTATTACTTCAATGTCATTTCATTGCTTACCAAACGTGTAACTCAAGTCATTTCTCATAATGTATGTCAGGATGTGAACCCTTTAAACTTTAATTCTAATCAAGTCACCACATTTCTTTCAATAAAACTCTTAAATCTGGAGTTTAGTCAAATAATTTCTCTGGAAATCACAGATGGTGACGCTCTGAGAACTCTATGAAGATGATCAATGTGAATATCAAAGATCTTTTAACCTGTTAAACTTTTTTTAATGTCTCTAATGAATACATACAAAGAATATTCATTGTACAGATTCATGTTTAAGAAATAAATACTGAAAGTAATCCTGCAGCACCTCCATCAGGACAAAACAGAAAATAATTAAGACAAAGTTGAAGAGCTGTGGAGTTTCAGTCTGACTGAAGCTTTTCTGCCACTCAGACCAGAACTGCACAAAAGAGTTCACTGATAGTTTCACAGTTAGTCCAAGAGAAAGACAACATTTCCAGTTAAACCAGTATTCTAATGAGAAAGGAGAGAGCAGCTCCTAACGCCAAACCCAGAGAGAGGAAGAACGCCATGATGGCTCCAGCTGTTTCTGCTTCATGAGGAAGAACGTTCCTGTTAAAAACCAGAATATAGTGACATATTATATTATATTATATTATATTATATTATATTACATTATATTATATATTGGAGTACTGTAATTCATTATTATCAGGAAGTCCTAAAAACTCCCTGAAAAGCCTTCAGTTAATCCAAAATTGTTAAGGTAAAATATATATTCTTAGTGCCTATTTTCTGTTTCTATTTTTTATGTAGGCTAGTATATTAAAGAGGCCACTTTTCAGTCATAAAATGTGTTAAAGGTCACAAAGTGGGGAGCAAGACTGAAATACTGTGCAAGACAGGAAAATGCTGCAGCAAGAGTCCTGACAGGGACTAGAAAGAGAGAGCAGATTTCTCCTGTTTTGGCTTCCAGTTAAATCCAGAATCCAAAATCCTGCTCCTCACATACAAGGTCTTAAATAATCAGGCCCATCTTATCTTAATGGTAAATGGACTGATTCTTATATAGCACTTTTCTACTCTCCCATAGTACTCAAAGCACTGTATACAACATACCACATTCACTCAATCACACCCATTCTCACAAGCACTGACTCTAAACTGAGTGCTTTTCTAACGACATTTACACACATTCACACTCCGATGGATGCATCTGAAGGCAACTTGGGGTTAGTATCTTGCCCAAGGACACTTGGCATGCAGACTGGAGGAGCCAGGGATCAAACCACCAACCTCAGTAGGTGACCTGCTCTACCTCCTGAGCCACAGCCACCAAAGTTAATGACCTTGTAGTACCATATCACCCTATTAGAGCACTTCGCTCTCGCTCTGCAGGCCTACTTGTTGTTCCTAGAGTATTTAAAAGTAGAATGGGAGGCAGAGCCTTCAGTTTTCAGGCCCCTCTTCTGTGGAACCAGCTTCCAGTTTGGATTCAGGAGACAGACACTATCTCTACTTTTAAGATTCAAACTTTCCTTTTTGCTAAAGCATATAGTTAGGGCTGGACCAGGTGACCCTGAATCCTCCCTTAGTGATGCTGCAATAGACGTAGGCTGCCAGGGGATTCCCATGATGCACTGGGTGTTTCTTCTTCACTCACTATGTGTTAATCGACCTCTCTGCATCCACAGCATGTCTTTATCCTGTCTTCCTTCTCTCACCCCAACCAATCACAGCAGATGGCCCCGCCCCTCCCTGAGCCTGGTTCTGCCGGAGGTTTCTTCCTGTTAAAAGGGAGTTTTTCCTTCCCACTGTTGCCAAAGTGCTGCTCATAGGGGCTCATATGATTGTTGGGTTTTTCTCTGTATCTTTTATTGTCGGGTCTACCTTACAATGTAAAGCACCTTGAGGCGACTGTGTGATTTGGCGCTGTATAGATAAACTGAATTGAATCCGAGATGTTTCCAAACCAGCTGAGAGGTACTGTCTCTTCAGCGTGTCTGAGGTCTGCCTCGGCGTCTCCTCCCATAGGGACTCCTCAGCTGACTCTCCTTATGGAGGTGCAGCTCTCACCCCATCTCTGAGGCTGAGCCCAGACACCTTCGGAGGAATATCATTTCTATTGCTTGTATTCTCCACGTCACTACTCACGGCACCTCCTCCCTAATCCTGAGTGGACCAACAACGCTTTCAACTTTTAAGTCTGTATGTTTTACATCACAGCTAGTTTTAGACAAAGGCCCCGTTTTCAGAAACCATAAAATAATTAGAAAAATTAACATAATTTTACATTTAAAGATTGATTTTAACACTGTTTTTAATTTCAGTGTCTGTTCAATAATGGGAAAAAAAGTCATTTAAATTACATTTTTAAATACAAGAACACTCTTGTTGTTTGAAATATCAATAAAATTACAAAAACAGTCTGAAATGTTATTTCTTTATGAGCATACAACATCTGTATTGGTAAATGGGCAGAAGGTAATTTCCCAGATGGTGTATCTTATATAACCCTAACTGGTAAAATTACAGAAAAAAATACAAATAGAAATGAATAATCTATATTATTCTTAAGATTCCCACAAATCTAGGGGCGGGGCTTATCCCAGCTACCACAGGACAAGAGGCGGGGACTGTGCCAAAGAGACCGTGCTGCTTGAAATATGAAATAAATATTAAATGCCTGTGAAATTTTAGTCTTGCATTACTAAAAATATACTTAGTATTATTTTATATTATTTTAATTATAACTTAAAAAAGAAGTTTGTTAGACTATAAATGTTGAAATATAACTTAAGTTTACTATAAAAATATCAATAGGCAGTAAAAAGATTAATTTAGGAACCTTTTTGGTTCAGATTTTGGTTTTGAAGAGAAACAAAGGTGCAGGCAGGCACTCTGTACTGCAGTTAACTTTAAAATCAGCTGTTGTTGATTATGCGACATTTTACGAGGATACAGTGTGGAGGGGAAAACTTTTTTTGAATAGCCAGGGAGTAAAATGTACCATTTATAGTCTGTAATGGATGAAGGATGGCAAAGGAACCTTACAAGACCAGCAGGTGTTCAGATTCGGATAATCTCTGTGAACATGTGAACTTTATAAAATTGTTTTAGAAGCTCCAATAATAAATTCTGAGAGAGGACAAAGGAGCATTTACACTCTGCAGCAGGCACATATACACATGTATACGTGTATGAAGTACGGAGAACAACGCTGTTCTGGGAGGTGCTGAATAATAAGTGACTGCTGAGATGAAAACAGTTCTCTGGAAAGCTTTTAATGCTTCTCTCATCATTCTGTTGCCCCTCCATCTTTGTTTCATCTGGCCAAAAATCTGCTTCAAAGCTGTGTGGGCTCTGTTGTAGGTGTAGTCTGACCTTCCTGTTTCTGAACGTATCCAGTAATTTGCACCTTGTTATAAACACTCCATAAATGCATGAACTGTTAATGTATGCTATGCTATGTCTTCTGATCATACTGCCTAAGGGAAGCATGTTTAACCACCGAGGACCTGGCGTCTACATATTTGGAAATCCCATTTTGAGTTGTCTAGATCAAAATACTAGATTTTGCTCTACAAGGGCCTGATATCCTCTGCTCAGAAACTACATCAGGTAAAAAGATAATTCTTTGTTTTTATATTCATCAGGTTGCAATCAGCCCAAATAGCAAAGAGAAATTAAGAATGCATGCCATTAATGAGTTCGGGTCTTAGGAGGATAATGTAAACAGAATTGGTCCTAGCACTGAACCCTGTGGAACTCCATAATTAACCTCAGTGTGTGAAGAGGACTCTCCATTTACATGCACAAACTGGAGTCTATTAGATAGATATGATACAAACCACTGCAGTGCAGTACCTGTAATACCTACAGCGTGCTCTAATCGCTCTAATAGGATATTATGGTCATAAAGCACTGGACCACTCTTGCTGCTAGTGGGTGCACAGGAAGCTGTGTTGGACTCAACTGTAATATACTTAATACTTAAAATGAGCTCCACAGAGAAAATCAAGGCTAACATTAACATGATGGGGTGTTTGCTGCGTGCAGGTTTCTTACCTTGGACCATAACACATGCAGAGGCTTGCCAGGTACCCGTTACTGAAGGCAAAGAGGATCATGAAGAGGATAAAGAAGCAGTCGTGATGGAAAACGACTGGCAGGTGGGCACGAGGGTGAACGTTGCACAGCATGAAGAGAGGGATGAAGACCAGGCGACACCCGATGGATGCAGGAAGTATCACACTGTCTTTTCCTGGCTGGAAAAAAAAGAATACTATCAGCTCACATGTCTTTCAGTTTAACTGGAATATATAGAGCACCATCTACAACAAAGTGCTTTATGATAAACTGAATACTCTCATTAAAGACTGGTACCAATAATGACATTATTTGAATATAGACTGGAATCATAAAGTAAAAAGGGAAGACTTGAAAATGGTAACACATGACTTTGAGTTTCAACGGGTTAACAAAGGACCAACTATGTAAATATGGGCAGAGACTGTTCTGAGGTCAGGGAAACATGTAACAAGCACAACATGACAGGTGTTTGTTTATTACACTGAGAAATAATGTGGTAACTGATGTTATTAGCAAAGGAAACACTAAAGAAATGTAGCATCATATAAAGATCTTAATAAGGAATTCCAATGTAACTGATCATCACATGTTATATATGTGAGCAAATCTGATTAAAGAATCAAGTACAGTGGAAACAAGATTTAATAGCTATTTTACTGATTCTGTTAAAGCTTTGACTTTTAACTGTTTAGGCTCAAACTATTCTGTTACTCAACTGGTCTCTGAGTGCTATTGACACCCTTTTCTCAACGAGAAGTCAGGGCTCGGGAGAGCCTGAGTGCCCTGGAGGGACTTTCCCTGCCGGTTACACGATGGACGGGTGGCAGAACTGGAGGACCGTGTGCCTGGCGGGACTGTCGATCGAGGACGCTGAAGATATCTACCTATTCGGAACCATGGTAACAGGGTTCATGCTGATCGGCGTTGGCTTAGCCCTGGTTTATCAGAGAAATAAGAGAGCGGAACCGGCTGTTCAAACCCCCACAAGGCTGCCGCTGGATTCGAAGCGACGGGACGAAGCACGACCTCTCACAACGAACGTAATATGGTCAACACCTTGGAGACGCTTACAGCTGCTGTGAAGGCTCAAAACAACACCATTGAGCGTATGAGGGGAAACATCAGAGAAAGGCCTGCTCAAAATGACACCGTTGAGCGACAGTTGGAAAACATCGCGGAACGGATCACTGCAG